CTCTCCCTAGAAATGAGTGAATTGTAAAAGCATTTGAATTGATTCCAGCTCTGTGAACTGATCCTCTTGATAGGATAAGCTGTTTACCATGAACAAAACATACAGCCTTCTCAGTTCCATAGACAAAATACTGTCTCTTGGGTCTGTTAGGCAGTCTGAGCAAGAGGGATCAGATATCTCCATAAACTTGTACAGCATCATAAGAGTTAGGTTTTTAAGCAGGTGGGACCCTTACAGTATGGGTTGGGGCAAACGGATTCTCCTCTTGTTGAGCAAAGCAGGAAACAGAATAGCTAGACTAGAAGAATCATCTTCATTTGCCATGAGTGGACTATGTAAGAAGACCAGGGAATCTTAATATATTAGGGCAGAGCCTCTCTGAGAAGTCAGGAGGCATATGTGTCCCAAAATATAAGCTACTTCTGGCAAGTCTATTGAGGTGGTGTGCCATGTAGAGATGAGCCCTTCAGCTGAAGATGATCAGCCTTTCTCAGACACTTCATTAACATTAATCATCCAACAAAGGGACATAGACATAATAAAGTTGGCCTTCAGAGAGCTAGGATTCACCAGGAATCTTGCTCTTCCAATGGAAAAGAGAGTTAGTTAGGAGTGATACAGCAGAAGACGAAAGGGTTAAAAAACAGGGGCTGTCAGCCTTCCTGGTAGCTGTCAGAAGTTCAGAGATATGGGAAATAGAGGAGGTGGTACATGTTCTGCTACAGGTGCTTTCAAGGGATACGGGATTGATACCTACAAGGCCCTTCAGCCGTACAAGTGCTGAAATGTCCCTAAGAACTCTATACAGGGCTTCAACAAGTTAGAGGAGCACCTGATATACAATGAGGCAACCCAGCAGTGCTATCAATAAAGGGCTGAAGATCAAGAAGACTTATAAAATTCCCTGAATGCAGAAAAAGCCATGTTCCAGAATAATTTGGCCATTAAGAGGTCAGCATGGTACACTAAGGCCTACTGAGTATAAAAGAAGTTAGGAAAAGCAGAGCCAGATACAAGACTAATTATATTACATTAAAAAGAAAAAAAATCTTATCCCAAAAGATTTTCACAGGCAAATTGACTGACAAAAAAAAAAAAAATGCTGCTTTCCATCCTTCCCACAGTTTTCTAAAGTATATTGAATACTTTGGTTTCCCAGCATCCTAGAAGCAAAGCCAAACTTACTCAGAAATGCCAACTGCAAAGTATTTGAGGCTTCTGAWAGTCTGACCATACATGATAGGTATGATATTTTTATTCACTTAGAAAACTAGATTTGATTTAGCAGCTCTTTACCTCAATTAAAATATACAGTCTCAGTTTGTTGAATAGTAATTTGACTTCCACTTTACAAAAGCCTCTAGAAGTGGGGACATATCAAAAAGTGCACAGACGAAGGCCCATAATAAAAGTGTGCATCCAGTTGCTGCCTACCAGGTGAAATGACCAGTTATCCAGAGTTCTCCATGCCCAGTGGCTTGAGTGTTTTTGGTTCAGAAGTGGCAACCAACATTGACTGGCAAATGGAGTTTTCTGTTGTTTTTCCCCCCATCCTCCTTCAGTTACTAGCAGATGGAATTTTTCTAACAATGACTTTAGGCTTAGGATAACAACTCTTGCATTTCATCTGAGAGATGGAAAGCAAAAATAATAATAATAAAAATCCCCCACAAACATTTTAACCATCTGGACAGTGAAATGCAGAAATAATACTTCTTTCCAGCTAGGTTCTCACAATTTGTCCAAATTCTCACTGGGGATAGAATTAGGTTCTATATTTCTACAAACTATCACGTGTAGATAACAACATAATTTGATATTCATATTTCTATAAATATGGAAAATATTAATAAACCTGACTGTTCCCTAACACTTTATAGAGATGCAGCCAAAAATATGGCACCTGCTTATAAAATGAGAAGCTTACATGTGGGAAAAAAATAACTCAAGTAATTAGTATTTTTTAAATTAAGACAGTTTGTGCTGCAGAGATCTGCAAACCTGCTACAAACTAATCTGGTGTYTGAAGCTTGGTAGAGCAGAATTTATATTAGAGTCACAGAATGAGAAAAATTGACAGTCTTGACCTATTTTGCAGCTGAGGCTGAAAGAACAGTGCTGTAAGCAGTCATGGATTGCTAAGACACGTTACTCTGGCAAAATATTCCACTCYTGTATAAAATGTTTCACCTTAATAGTGGTTTATTTGTAAATAATAATCAGGGCTAATGACCCCAGTTTGAAGTAATTAGAATGACAACAGAGTTCTAATAATGTATGGAAGAATCTTGAAAATGGCATCAAAGAGATCTCTGAGAACAAAGATGGGATTTCTATAGGCATTTTTCTACCTGAGGTAAGAGAAGCCAAACTGAAAAGATACACTCCTGACCTTGAATATTAACTTTGAATTGGTCAATTGTGTCTTCTTTGGACAAATCCATTACATGGAGTTAAGAGATTATACATTATTTGATGACTTTTTTAGTGAAATTGTCCCTCAGCCAAAACACACACAAAAAATGACTGGAAATATTTTAGTTCCAACAAAGCATATCAGCTGGTCCATGGTTGTTTCTATTTTTTTACCTTTGTTTTTTTTTTTTTAAAAAAAAAGGACAAAAAAGTTCTATGCTAATACAATTTAGTTTTAGAGCACTTCAGAGAAGGTAAYGTTAACAGCCAAGCCAGCAAAGCTCAGTAATTCACCCAGCTAGAGCTCCACTATTAAGGAGAGTTTTTCCTCCTTAGGGAAACTGGTGTTAGGTCTTCCAGAGTGCTTTGATGGTAGCACTGCAGATGGACACAAGACATCAGAAGCGACTGAGATCAAGGACATTGCTATTAGGAGACTCCAAGAGGCAGACTCCAAGGGCAGACTCCAAGAGCATTTTAAAAGGGAACTTCTCATGCATGTTATTCCCTGCAACCGTTCTGTAAAGAGGGAGTTCCTCACCGGGGAGGACAAGCTGTGCAAAGACACTTTAGTTTTAGCAGACTTGCAATGAAAAACTGTATTTGCAAATACCAGAAAAGGAGGCCTAACCAGAACTAAGAACAGAATTAAGAACAGGAGTCAACAGACATAAGCCACCAGGAAAAATTCTTCAGCCTCTTATTCATACTGAGAGAGGAGTTTAAAATATATTCTTTATTTTAAACATAAACACTTTTAGTAATTGTATTTCATTCTCACTCATTTTTTACCTCCATTTACTTATCTAAATAACACAGTATTTTAAAATGCAGCTTTCTGTAACTCTCGCAAGCCTTTGCAACCGTGATTATTTAGTAGTATGGACTCCATTACTGCCCATACTCTCCCTCACCAAGAACCAAGAGACAGCATGGTATCCTGAGGGGCTAATTAAGAGATCAGTGTTGACATTTTAGCAAAKCCACTTCGCTGCTGGGAGATACTCCTTTAATTCCCCCTTTATCATTTTTGGACTAGAAAGAAACAGCTGAGAAAACAAAGCCATTTTACAGACAGCTATATTGAGGGACTCAGAGGTTAAACAGTTGATCGAGTAAACACAGCAAAACGGAGACRATGACAAGGAGAAAACCCCAAACAACACTCTAATTCTGGTTCAACGAGGAGCATGTTTGCCTGCCATCAGCACTGTGGGGACTTAATGCCTGTAGTCACTGGACAGCACTGCGTATTTCCTAATAATCAGCCTTCTGCATAGAGAGGACCCAGGGCTCCTGGCCTAACAGATGCATTTCCAATCACAATACTTGCAAGGAATTTGTCAGAAAACCTTCCAGGCAACAATGTCCAATCACACAAGCATAAGAAAACAGAATCTGAAAACACCTAGAATCCTACTGAGTGTTTCTACAAAACTCCTTTTTGAAAGAATATTTTATAAATAGACTTTTTCTTAAGCAGACACAGTAAATGTGAGCTGACAGGTAAAGCACTTTAAACAACCAAGCTTTTGCAATAATAACTGCTGTCAGCGGCGAAAGCATGTATCTGTTATACTAAAACAGGTATTTAAAAAGAATAGATCAAGATTTTTCATCTTTTCCCCTTTAATAAATTTCAGCATGATAGCTGTGTTGGGCTTCTCAGCTTYTGTCAGTAAACTACACCCGAAATGTCTTGCCCTCTGTAAATACAGATGACCTATCACAGCCTCATACGTTCAAGTGACCTGGCATGGTGGCTGATGCAATCGTGTGGGCAGTGACCTTTTCAGCTTAAATAGAATGTGCCTTGCGAGGGCAGCGCTGGATTAGTCTTTCCCTTCYTCTGTCTTTGTTCTCTGCCTCCTGCTGAGACAAAATTACAATCTTTACTTTCAGTGTTCAGGCTGAAGATGGAGTTGCAGGCAAACCACTATGTTCAGGTGACTTTTTTCTCTTGTCTCATAAAAGTATTTCTGAAGGGCATTATTTTTGCTGTTGGAACAAGATACTACTTAGCATTTTCCTGCACAAGACTTGAAGCACGACCGTTTCTGCTGCAAACTGGCTCACGCTGCTCACAAGGCTCCAGAGCRGCTGCCATCCAGAGGCCTTGGATTCAACCTGGCTCAGCAAAGAGCTCAACTGCAAAGCTTGGCACAAGCCCGTATTTCTCCAGAGCACATTTGGCACTGCTCTTTTATTCGGAACAAATTTTATTCCCAAACGAACCCTCTGGGGAAGGTTTCCCATATCAGCAAGACCATATTTACCACACCTGCCTTTCATTTACTTCCTGCAAGCACTGCACAGACCAGATTTCCTCCCGTGCCAAACTCTGCATGGGCTGGTTGTGGTCACCCGCGTCTCTGCGGCGYGCGCAGCCGTCGCGGGGTTGCTGTCCCTTGTGCCAGCTGGCGCAGGGCCCTGGGGTGCCAGCTGTCACCTACGGCTGGCCGCAGCACCGGCCCGCTCCCGCACTGCGGGTCCTGGGCGGCTCGTGCCAGCTCCTACCTGCCAGGGTGACCAGGTGGCCTCATGCTGCTGTGTCTGTCTGAGCACGSCGGGCTGTCCCCCAGGACAATGCTGGAGCTCGAGTCTGAGGTTCAACTCAAAGGTACATTTATTCTGGATCCTGAAAGGGATATAGGGATATGATTGTTATCAGTGGTTTTTTGTTGTTGKTKTTKTTTTAAGTAATTAAGCTTGTATGTTTACTTTTTAACTTTTACTTAAAAGCTTCTATTAAAACGTTACACACATGTATATAYGGTTTAAAATGAAGTTTAACTACAACAATTATTTCAGCAGAGAGTCACCTGGGCATGCACAAAGTAGTAGTATTGGACAAATACAAAATTACAGCAAAAGTATATTAAAGTTCTGGGTCTCTCAAAGTAAAGCCATGCCTTTAAAAGGCCTACTGAGTTGAAGACTGCTTAAATGTGTTAGCACTGCAGAATCAAGACCTAAATTTAGTGCTATTACATTCAGTGATAATCACAATACACACTAGGCTGTAATAGTTCGAGACCTCACACACAAACTCACACAAAAAAGGGAAAAGAACAGGATATAACTTCCATGTACTGTAACAACGGAAAAAGCTATGTAAAGCAAAGATGCTTTTGATGCATTTACATCAAAAGTTAGAAATAGGTACTTTGTATTTTTATGCTCACACTGTACAAGCTGAGTATCTAAGCCAAGCTCAAGGCATGGACAAATGAACATTTAAAAGCTACTAGGGACATTAGGTCACTATCATTGTCAGTTGATAGCTGTCCAGGATACCTGCAGATGGGACTCAGCAACAGACCACCCAAAACCACATTGGAAAACTTAGTCAGAAACTTGCAGGAATGAAAAAAWAATATGTATTTATACAAGTGTGGAAAAAATACCATTTTTTCCCCTCCTCTTTCTAGCTTACTTCAGTTTGAATTTATGCTCCAGTTTTTATGACATACAAGTTCAGCAAAGCTAACTTCAACCTACTGCATAAGTAGTTAAGAGAAAAATAGCATCCTAGTTAGCTCTATATTAGCTGTATTAAAACCCTGCTTGAAAGAGTATGTGTGGCAGGGAACAGTAAAGTATTAATATTTAYGTGAATACTCTTCAGTGTTTTTAATATGAATATACATGAACACTTACAAGGTCTGGACTCCAATGTGCTACGTAAGTCTGTTTGAAAAACAGCACTCACCCCCTAAAGCTTCATCATCTAAACTGATAACATTTTTATTTATTTAAGAAGCTTTGTTAGCTTCACTCTGAAAGTATGCAGGTCTGTGTCTAAGAGAAGAGAGCCCAGGAATTTGGTAGCATACATGAAGAAAATAAACCGGGGGGGGGGGGGGGGGAAGAAAAAAACCCACGGAAGCAGGTTGAAGACAACACAGCAATAAAGCCAATCATGTTTGCATGAATCATATGGGGCTTCTCCTTAGAAATTTGTTACTCTGTATGAAAATGCCGTTCCCGTGCATTTCTTAACCAAGAGGATCTCTGGGGATCAGAAAGAAAACTATTTTAGTTGAAGTTTATTATTTTAAGATTTGCATAGGCATTTTTCTTCTGCCAGTTACTGCACTGTCATGCACATTGCTTTGTGTTGCCACCAGGCTGGCCTAGAACTGCGCCTGTGCATCCTTCACAGCACCCTGAACGGACACAGAGCACCTTAACCAAGCATTGTAGAAGGATATCCCTGAAGATCTGCAGAAATTAAAAAGTGCAAAACCCTGCCTAAAATATAACCAAAAGATGCTTATCTAACCTGCAACCATAATTTCTAACGATGACCATCTAGTGACTCTTTCTTAGTAGTCTGTTAAAATACTTAATCCTTCTTACAGTATTTCTACTGCCAAACTCTACTTTGCCTTGCTCTAAAAAGTCTAGTTTATCCATCTCTCAGTAGACATGCAGGAGGGTTTACTGTTTTCCCAAAAATATTCAGTGATTGGAAGACTTAATGGCCTGTCCTGCCCAGTTCTTGACTTTTCTAAGCCAAAAAGGCTATTATTTTTGACTTTGCTGCACTGGTCATCTGTTCTCACTTTTTTTTAAAGTTTTTTTTCCAGATCTCATCTGGAAATTTTACATCCACCTGAAAGCTTGAAGCCCATGTCTGGTCAAAGTAATTCAGCAGAAGGTTCATGATTCCATGACTCTGTTAACAATTTTTCAAGTATATCTTTCCTTTTAAAATACTGTAAAAAAATGCTAGTGGTCCAGTATAAATCAGAMTGGTTGAGGTTGGAAGGGACCTCTAGAGACCATCTAGTCCACCCCCCGCCTGCTCCAGCAGGGACACCCGGAGCACGGGGCACAGGGCGGCATCCAGGCRGGTTGGGAAGATCTCCAGAGAAGGAGACTCCACAGCCTCCCTGGGCAGCCTGTGCCAGGGCTCTGGCACCCTCACAGGGAAGAAGTTCCTCCTCACATGGAGATGGAACTGCCCGTGTTTCAACTTACACCCATTGCCCCTTATCCTATCATTGGCCACACCCTAGAAGAGCTTGGCCSCTTCCTCCCTACATTCCCCCTTCAGGTATTTATACATATTAATCAGATCCCCTTTCAATATCCTAACCTTTTTCTACAGCATCAGCTAAAAAGCCAATTGTGCCATGTTCGCATAAAATTGGCATTTTGTTTTACATCTGAAAGTGAATGTATTTTCTCTGTGGAATTTCTGAATTCCAATCTCCTCCATCCTGCTCTTAAAATCTTTTCACCCTCATGATTTAGCTACCTTCCACAAGAGAATTCTACTGACCAGTAAACTTTATTTGAAAAAAATATATATATCTTTCTAAGTGTTCAACCCTAACTGTATTGTTTCACTGAGCTGAACCTCTGCTTTTGTATTATGTGATGAAATAAAGGTGAGATTATTCTATTCTAACCACTGAATTCTTTAGGTCATCTCATATGACCTCATATATATCTCAATACTTTCTAAAATTTTCTTTTTTTTTTTTCTGCACCTAAAACAGTTGAAACCGTCCTTTTCAACATCTTCATCTGAGACACTTTTAGGTTCATCTTTGAAATCCAACTAAAAATGTGGCTCTGCTGTGTGATAGGCACTGCTCAAGCACAGAATATTAACCCCAGAGAGTTTAGCAAGCTGTGCCTTTCAGATGGACATTTGGCAGAGAAATGGGCTATAAAACAAAGGAATACCCAAAAGCATAATGGTTTTATGTGGAAAGAGAGCACAAGACAAAAGAAAAAAAAATCAGAAGCAAATACATGAAGGGCATGGCACACTGAAACATATAAGCAGCAGCTGTAGAAGGAAATGGAGATGAAGAGAATGTGAAGGAAGTAATAGGGGGAAAAAATCTGACCAAGTGCATACAGAGCAGATAAAGACTAGTCAAAACTACCAAATTCTCTGAATACCTACAGCTCTTTGCTGTTTCTACAGCAGTTTCTGCCTGCAGGAGTCTTAAGATATACAAAGGTGCTACACTGACCACTTCATTGTCTCTCTGTCTCTCTGTCTCTCTGTCTCTCTGTCTCTCTGTCTCTCTGTCTCTCTGTCTCTCTGTCTCTCTGTCTCTCTCTCTCTCTCCAGTTATACTTTCATCTTCACATTTTTCAAGAGCAGTACTTTCCTACCAGTAGTTGGTAAATAGTATAGAGCTTACATGCATTTAAAAGTTACGCTTTCATTTTGTATTACATTTTACATCAACATAGATACTACAAAATGCATTTTCATTTTAAATAAATTTTGGACAAAAAAACGTATAAATTCTTTGTGAGAATGGCCTATCCGAACTGAAATCATGGGGACAGCGTGGACTATTTCTCCATATTTATGTAAATATTAAGGTTATCGACTCACTATTGTGCTATCTACTTAGCCTCAAAGAAAAAACTTCTGTTACTGTGACTTAAAAAAAAAAATCACAATACTGGGGAGGAGCACAAATAACGCAGGCTTTAGCAGCTCTCAGCAACCAAAAAGGCCAAATGACATTTGAATAAAACAGTAGGTACAAGCAGAATGAAATGAGCCCTTCCCACATCGCAAAGGGAAAGAGTGGGAAGCAAACAAGAAGCAGTTGCACAGAGTGGGCTCCCAGAAACCACAGAGGAAAAGCAGCTCACCAGGGAGGAACTTGAGGAGCTTGCCTGCAGAAGGAAGTCACTTCCAGGCTCCCGAGCTAAACAAGCCAAAGAAAGAAGGCCCAGGTGAGGGAGCAACCTCCGTGACTTACACAAATTCAGAGGTGCAGACCTGGAAATATAAAAGGCTTCTGGTGTAGCAAGAGGATAGCATCACTTTATTTGTTATTAACAGACCCTTATATATTGATTTGCAGACATTCTTTGTCTGAATGTCTGGTTTTGCAACTAGGAAAGGTCAAGCCATGATGTCCCCAAGCTCTGGGAAAAGTATCCTTAAACAACTGGGAATCTGTAAGAGAACAAGTCAATGTAGACTTTTATGTCTGGTACAGTACTAAGGGTATTTYGGGGGCTCTGGTTTTAATTAAAGGTGGGAATTTTGATGAGGACTTCCAGAGAATACAACCAAAGACCTATATTTCATGTATTCTCACTTTTAAGGGACTATTAAAAACAAATGGAACCTCTTTAGATAGAATCTGGAAAGCAACCAAGGGAATATACCATCAGAAAAAGCTTTAATGGTTTTGTGACCATTCCGATTTTGAGGGCAGGAGATACTTCACCAGACATTTAATTTCAAATTAAAGGTATTAACACTGCTTCACATCAGCATCATGCAGTAAGCCACATTTTAAGCTTTTCAGTGTAGCTGAAATCCCAGAAGGATGAACAAGTTCTACAAATTCTCCCAATATTTTAGTCATTTACATCTCTCTAATGCTACATCAGGTTGCTCCCAGCTGCAAGCTTAGCACTGAAGGCCTCGCAGTCAGAGCTTAAGAATCACAACTTTCAGGCTAATTAGGATTATTCGGATTGCTTTCACTTTGACCACCTATTTTAAAACATTACCTTGGCCCTAAACAATGCAGAAACAGCCAGCAAACTATTCCCAATGTTTAACCAAGGCAGAGGAGTCCGCTTTTCTCCAGCCTCTTGACACCAGCATTAGTCCCACCGTTATGCACTACATCACGGAGGAAAAAGGAGATGGGAGCCCAAACTGTGCGGTCCCGCCGAGCACGGGGCTTCGCCACAGCCCTGAAGCGGTCTCTGCCGAACCCGGCCTGCCGCCAAGGAGGCGCCCCACGCACGGCCAGGAGCCGCGAGAATGCWCCGTGACAAACGGCGCTTTTCCCAACGGCCAGCAACATCCCCTGCGAACGCGTCCCCTTCCTCACGGCGCCGACCGTTAAAGAGGGAATGAGGGCGGCCCGGGCCACGTGACCCCCATTCGAACGGCCGGCGCGGGACGCGCGCCCCTGCGCACGGAGCATGCGCAGCCGCGCCGGCCGTTGCGCGACCGCAGCCACGTGATGCGCGACCCAACGGCCAGCGCCGGGCTCGCCCCGCCCCCCGGTTTTGTCTCCTCTGGCCGGCCCCGGGGAGGGGTTGGGGCGCATGCGCGCGAGGCCGGCGGCGGTTACTGACGGTTACTGCCCTCCTTTTTGAAATATTTTCTCCCTCGCGTTTTGTTTTTTTTTTTTTTTTCTTTCTTGTTCGTCACGTATTTATTTCTAATCCCCTCAGGAGGAGCAAGATGGCGCTTGCCGCGGCCTGACTCGCGCTGAGGCGGCGCGGGCCCTCCGCGCGGTGCGCGGCCGGAGGCCCGGCCGGGGGATGGTGAGCGGGCCCAGGGCCGCGCAACCTGCCGCCAGACCCCGCCTCCTCCCCCGCCTCCTCCCGCTGCCKCCTCGGCCGCACCGCGCCGCCCGGAGCGCCGCCCGCCGCCCGGCCGCGAGGGGAGCGAGCGGCTGCTCCGCACAGGTACGCGCCTCCCCGCCTGCCATCGAGGCCTCTGCCGCGGCGCCTGCTCGTCCCTCTCCTCCTTCCCCGCCGCGGCGCCTTTGGCATGGCGGGCGGGAGCCCCTTGTTCCCCCGGCTGGCGCCGCGCCGCGTTTTGAGGCGGGAAGGAGAGGGGGGTGCCGCGCTGGGGGGGTACTGTGGGAGAGGGGGCTGGCACGAGGCCGCATGTGCCCCCCCGGACGGGTCCCCGCGGCTGCTGGGCGGCTCTCGGGGCCGCTGCGGCCTCTGAGCGGCCGCTCGGGCGCCGCGTGGGTTCCAGAYCGCGGGGGGAAGGCACCATGCGGCTGGAAACGGGGGGGGGGGATGCCGCCTGGTGCTGGTTTTCTCCTGATCTTTCCTGATTGCGCAAGGCCAAATACGCGATTTTCAGCGTATTCGGACGAGCTGCGCTGGGAGAGATGGGAATAGAGCCGGCTGCTTATATGTGCCCTGTGCGGAGAGCGAGGGAGGGGCTTAAATTGCTATGTTTAACCTGCTGTTAGGCCCTCGGAAAGGAAGCGAGTTGAAGCAGAAGGAACGTACGGGAACTAGGGCAGCTTCTCGGGCAGGGAAGCGCGTGGGTTTGCTGCCCTGCGCCGCTTTGACTTCCGGTGCTTTTACGTGTCGTGGTGTGTAACAGCRCTTCCTGCTTGGGAGCAAAAGTACGGGCGAAAAAGAGCTGTGATGGTGTTGAATGTGCAGCTCCTCTCTGCGTGCCCGGCGTTCTTGGAGAGGATTGATTTTTGTTGCTTAATTTCAGGGTGTTTCCTTCCAACTGTGCTGACTATGTAACTTTATGGTAGGTAAAGCTTTGCTGTGCGGTGTCAGTATTAGAAATAAACCTTTTATCATAAAGTTGTGCTAAAAGAAGTCTGTATTTACCAGATGTACTGTGGTAGGTTGTCTATAACTATGTCTGTAACTGATAAATAAAAAGATTTCTTTCTTGTAATACACCCATCATGACCCCTTCCGAGCACTTAAACAAGAACTTCCTGAGGGTTGTGCTGTGTYTGAGAGATGTCAGATGGAGACGTTTTTGTGTTACTGCACAGGTTAGAAATCTGACTATAGCTGTTTTGCTACATCCTTTAGGTACGTTAGAGTCTATTGTGAGCTTCTGTTGTGTAAAAAAACATATAAATCCAAATAGCTGCAAAGAACCGGAGCCCAGGCCAGTTGGTTTGCCTCTGTCTTTTGCCAAGTGGTGAACAGGCATCTGCTTAATCCAGTGCTTGTCGTGCTTCAGTGGCTGCCCTTCGAGTGGCAATTTGATCTTCCCTGGAATCCAGTGGCGTAATTCTAGGTTACAGTCTCAAAAGCCTTTGAGCTGTGGTTACTGGCACATGGAAGCAATCCTGTCTTCCTCTGGTCACAAGTGTTTGTGTAGACATGTGCAAAGCGGAAGTGGCGAATCTACCTGGCTTGGGGAATAAATATTTTTACTTTTTCACTTAGTGCAGGGGCATGGGAGGACCTATGAGTGCTGTGGTTTATGACATTTAAAAGTATTTCCACAATTTCTTTTGTCAAATAAAGCAATTGTACTTCTAAAATACCTTTATAATTTACCTTTGAACGTGACAGACCCAAATTCCTGTATTTGTGTATTTGATTGGTGATCTGTCTGAGACTTGTGCAGTTATATATAGTGTTCTGTTTAAAAATATTTCATTTGATAAGTGGAACGAGTTATGAAATCAACTATTACTCCCATTTTCAGCTAACAATATTTGGGGATTTTCTTTTTTTTTTCAGTGATCTGGATTTTGTTTGTTTGTTTCTTTAGGAATTTTAATTCTTGCTTGAGTTACTCAGGACTTAAATTGCCACTAAACCTACATACTTCTTCTGAAAAGGTTCTTAAGGTTATATTGGATAATGTAGGTACTGTTAGGCAGACTCTTCTTTCCAAATAGAATTGCAAAGCAACGTGGTTATCTACCAGATTTTTCTAACACAAAAAACACTGGATTGAACATCTTCTTTTTTTATACAGCTTTTGAGTTATATTTTACAAAATTGGAGCTCAGTTTTTGTATTAGAAATCTTTTTGAATTAGAAATTCTAGTAAATTGTATTAGAATCTTTCAACTTTTAATTAGCCTTAGTTTTGTATTAGAGGATTGTTTTCATTCTTACTCTAGGTTTTCAGTCCATTTGCTTCAGTGGGTGCCCATCATCATTATATTTGATGCTATAAAGCATCAAAAATTGGCTTTTTCTTTCAAGATTATTGCTGCTGGTTTTCAGCTCTTGTTTCAACTTTGACCTGCATCTATATGAACTCTGATTCCTGCTGCTTACTCTGGATAATAGAAGCTTGTGATCTTTGATGATTAGCTTTGAATTTTGCTGCTATATAATTGATTCTGTGCACTTTTGATTAGTTGTCCATACAGGTGTGGAAAAATGGCAAAGAGAATTGCAGAGAAAGAACTGACTGACAGAAACTGGGATCAGGAAGATGAAGCTGAGGAGGTAAAATATTCTTAGATACTGTTTCCCCAGCCCCATCATTACCCAAACTACCATAGGGTAGTTATTTATGTGCTGTTCATCTTGTGGATTAAAACCATAGTAAAACTGGTTAGAAGCTTATCAATTAAAGAAGGGATTATATGAATCAGTGCCTTAAAAAAAAAAAAAAACAGCTTCTGTGTAGATAAAAATGTTGTATGTTCAGGCCTATAAAATATAAGAAGGAAAACTGTCTATACACTTTGAGAAATATAAGAAAACTTAATTTCTTCATTTACTATGGGGTAGTAAATTTCTACATTTACTTCAACTGTCTTTGCTAATATTTAACTGCAGCAACCTGTGGGAGGTGGATTTTGACCATACATTTCAATATATCTTCTCCAAACTGAAGTTTGATTGCAACAGTGCTATATCAATAGATTCTGTTCAGCAAATATGTTTTACAGACAGCAGATTTTCTCAATTATTTTCTCATAATAAAGAGAAGATTGTAGTCTGAGTGAAAGCAAATTCAAATGTAATGCAGAACAGGGAAGAGAACTGTGAAAGCTGTAAAGCATAAACTGATCATTCAAGTACAGGACCAGCTAAATCACAGTACTGGAATACAGTGTAATTGTGTTTTTTGCCTTCTCTGTTAACGCAGAAGTGTACAGTTTGTGCTCAAAAGCTGATCTCTGCCCTCTCTTCAGCCTATTCTGGCTTTATTCTAAAAATCTCCCTAAACGTTCTCTAACTTGTTTTCAAAGGTGGGAACTTTCTCAGTAGCTAGCGAAGAAGTCCTGAAGAACAGAGCTATTAAAAAAGCAAAACGCCGAAATGTTGGAGCAGAGGTAACTAATCACTGGACAGTGTTGCAGCCTGACTGATTTGTAAAATATCGACACGTTCAGGTCTTCACTTGTGCCTGTAGCTTAATACACTATTGGTCTTACCATTTATAAGGTATATGCCATTAGCCAGCTCTTACATATAGCAGATTAATTTTCAGTTACTGTTCCTGTAGCAAGAGTAAGGCTTGAATAAGAAACGGACAGTACTAGTGCTTCTGGAGGCAAAAGAGATTTGCATTATTTGAAGTACAAACATAAAATTTTTTAGATGTTATCATTTCTACAGATGGGGAAAGTAGCATTTGAGCTGCTTTCATTTCAGTCTTTGTGGAGGGGGAGGCTTGGAAATCGAAAGTTAATGAAGTTATCTGTGCTCTGGATTTTCCTACTGCCGTCCAAGCAATAAAAAAGAGGAAGCTTTCCCTTGAAATTTTTGGCCACAGAAGTTCTAACCAGAGATGTGGTAGAGGGTCCAGWTTATGAAAGGACTGTATTGGAAAGAAGATTCTGGTGCAGCTGACTTAATCATGCAAAAAAAATAAAGCATAAACCAAAAGGGAGGTGTTCAGGGACTGGTGGAATGGGAAATGGGAGTAGGTGATGTGAGAAGAAATAAAATGAGGAGGCTGGGACACAGTTCTGTGTGAGAGCAAAGCGGGAAGAGCTAGCAAGAGCATGTTAGAATGCCTAGCTAGAAATGAAGGAACAGAGGACTGACACTGGAAGAATGAAAGAATGAAGGGAAGCACAGAGAGCCCATAGCCCCATGGCCATTTGCCTTCTGGGTGCTAGGGTAGAACCCACAATTGTTCAGTTTTGCAATTTATTCAGTTTCTAAAACCAGATGAAACTTGGAAGCAGCTCTCCTTTTCCTCTGACTTTCCAGTGACACCGAGAGTCCACT